GATGTGCATGTTCCCGACCAGAATCGGCCAGCGCAGAATGTGGTGTCGCGTCGCCGCCATCTTCGGCCGAGAGCTGTCTGGGCGGCGATCCGCGCGAAAGGGGCCGAGATGAGCTGGGCTTCGCTGGGAGGTTGGAGGCGCGCCGGCCTGGGTCGGTGGCGGGACGTGCATCCTCTCGCGGCATTTCGTTGACCTGGGCGTTCTCCTTCTCCGCGAGCCCGGCGATCAGCACCGCGGCCTCCTCGGCCTCCTCTTGGCCCCGGCGCGATTGAACTTCTGCTGGCGAATGAGTTCTTGGCGCTCTTCCTCGTTGCGAGTTGCCTCGCGCCGGTTTTTCCTCCTCCATTTTCTTGTGCGAGTTTCTGGCAATGTGATCCATCCTCCCCTTTCGCCTTGATGTTTCTCGATGTAGATCTCTTCGCCATGGGTCAGGGCCAGGCCCGCGCTCTCTCGGTCGCGTCGTCGCTGTTGCTTGGCCGGTGGGGAAGGGGCCTCGCGCGCGCTCCTCGCCAGTCTCGCGGCCCCCCTGGCGGCCCGCTTTGGTTCCATGGTATGTTCAAGACGAGGATGTCCGCGGCGTGCTGAAGGATCTGCGCGCAGGCTGATGCTCGATTGCCTCCCTGCGTCTGCGCGGGCCCGCGCCAGCTCCCTTGAGCGTTGAGCGTGTTCGCTCCGTATCGGGGCCTCGAAGTGGTCGTGCCCTGGCGCGGTGGAGCTCCAGTCGATGGTCATCAGGTAATGCATCGTATGCCAAGTTGGTATGATTGGCACCCACTCGCGAATTTGGTGCGACATCGGCAGCGCCTGCTGCAAGACCGTCTACCCCGTCACCGTGGCCGCTGTTCCATGGAGTGACGCCCTTGTTTGGGCCCCTGGACTCCGTGTCCATAGGACAGCTGGGTCGATGATGCATATGGTACTTGCACAGACAGGTGCGGTGCGTGGCGCGGTCGTCGATGGATGCCCGCTTGTTGAGACGCTGTTGATCCGCGTCAGCTGCGCGAGTGTCCGAGGCGCGGATGACGCGGCCGCCTGCTCCTCTCCGCGCCCGAGGACCGTAATCCCACCGCTGGCCGTCATCGCCGCGGACCCGTGGACCTGTGCTGTGGTCCTGGCCCTCGCGTCTGCAGCCCAGGTAGCAATCCGCGATGTCGTCGTCGACGCGTGCGCCGCCGTGAGGTGGGGCCGCCGCAGTGCTTCGGCTGTAAATAGTGAGGTAGTGAAGGGCTTGAGGGCTTCCAATGTGACTGGGCAGGCGTTGCTGTCGCTCGATGGTGCGCCGATACTGTGGTTCCAGCTCGTTGCTGATCATAGTTCCGATCTCCTCCTGCATAGCAGGTGTAGCTGATGCTGGAGGCGACGGGTGGGAGGCAGATGGCGGGTCGCATTGCATCGGGTGCTCGCCGTTCTCCAACGTCGCTGTGCTCCAATATGATGCCGGGCTCCTGAGGCGTGTTGCTAGATCCTGCCCATTGTTCGAACGTGGTGGGCGTCTGGGAGTTTGGCGCCAGCGAGTCGCGGAGATTCTGCGTGAACCCTTCAACGTTGTCGGGGGCGTCGTTGTAGGAAGAGAACGCGGTCAGGTCAAGTGGTTCGCCCGCTGCGAAGGATTGGTCGTGATCGACGTGCTCTGAAGAAATGGGGCCAATGTGGGCGGCGGAATCCCCGTCTCCCTTCCCTTTCCCTCGACTGCGCTGCGATGCAGAATGGTTGGGGGAGTCATGCATGTCGCGTAGCGTGCGGCGGCCGTCCTGACCGACGGGGTTTGAGTTTTCTGCCTTTCCTCTTCGCGGGTGGCGCGACGACCTGTTGCTCTTGCCATTGCCTCCTCAGGGAATTTCGTCGTAGTCGTCGATATAAGGGGATGCTATGGATGAAGCGATGCCTTGGCCGTGCAGCTTCATCCCATTGCCACCCTTGCCCTTGCTCAGTGCCCTGGTGTTTAGCGTGCGTCCGGTATACCTACGCGCGCGTCGCGCAGGCTTCCTCGTGGACCTCCTTCGCGTCCTCTTGGCATGGCGAATGGCGGAATACAGGAATTCAGCCTTCTGGTCGTCAGTGAGGTTCGTAGGCATGTCCGACTGATCTACTGACTTTACTCCTCCTGATGATTATGTGTCAGTATCTGTGCCAAAGTCGACTGGCATGGTCGGCTCAGCCTGGCCGTCTTGGCCCCGAAGGGTCGTAGTAGGGAGTGCTGGTCTGGCGGGTGGTGTCCATTCCCGGTCTGTGCTGCCAGCTGCCTGTCTGCTAGTCGCCTGGCCAGCGAGGTGGGCTGCCTCTAGCGGGGTTGTCTGACCGCGTGTTGTGACCAATGGTTGCTTCCACGCCGCTGCCGCTGAGAAGTGCGTAGTCCGCATGGAAGTTGGTGCAGCGTGACGCGTTGCCGTGCCCTCGTCCAATAGCCCCGCCGATGTTCCCAGGAGATCGTTCGGCAAGGTGGCCGAAACATCGCATGCGTTCAAGCAGCGAAGCGTTTTCCACCAGGCTCCTGGGCATTAGGTGGTTTAGCGGCTGCAGCATCTGAGATTCTCGTGCACTCCCTTTCTGAAGAGCTCGAAACAAAATCGTGGTTAGGATCTGGGCGCAGTGGAGGTCGAATCGAACAGCTTGGGCCTAAAGCGGGTCAACTCGAATCCAGCCAGTGTCGCATTGATCCGTTCGCCTGCAAGCAAACTGAAGTCGATCAGTCCTGTGCCCGAGTCGAGTTGACGTTCGTCTTCTAGACGTTCGAACTTGTCAGTCAATACATGCATGATCTATTTTGCATGATTGGATCGAACACCGTCAGTATCTAGACAAAAGTTGACAATGAGCGACGGAATACGGATTGCTATGGTTCATGCCAGTCCCGAAGGGCCTTCTGCAAAGGGCGGTCGCCTGTTGTGGTGCAGAACGGCCGCTAGTAGCGTTGAGCCACGCGTGGACCTCTTGGACGTAAGTCCTGAAAGGGTACGTCGACCGCAGGGCCCCAATGAGGTCCTCTAAAGCGCGTGGTGCCGTCTGCACCGCGTTGCATGCCGCCTACAATAAGCCCCAAGATAACCTATATTATGCCACATCTGGTAATCTCGAGATAGTGACCGAAGGTATCTGGGTCCTTCGGATGATCTGCTTTCTGTGGGTGGTTGTCGTCTGTCAGTCGTCGTAAGGGTCTTGGCTGCACGTCTCCATGCTTAGCGTCGTGATCAAGTGGTAGGTCGGCGTCAATGAGCCTGTTGCCAAGCTGAGTGTATGCGTTGCGCGGAACGCAGTGACGTAGAGCCGTGCTGTATATGCCTACGATCGAACGGTTAGTGGTGGAAGTCGGCGTGCTTGTATTGGTAAATCCACTGCTGGATTCCAGCTCGCTGCTGAGCACCGGCCCGTTGCTGGGCTGTCCACGCCAGCTTCCTGGCTCTGTTCCCCGAAAGGATGTCGGCGCATGGCAGTCCACATAGGTCATCCATATAGTGCCGTGGAAGAGTGTCAGCAACAGAGTCATCTACGTAAGTGTGTAGTCAACTCCGCTACCAAGAACAAAGATACATCAGGCGATGCACAAGTATATAACAACTTTTCCTCTGCGCGTTCGTTTTCAGTATGACGCGTCAAGACTACTTAATAATATTCTGGTGCCGACTCTTTGAACCCACATGGTGTTGCAGATGCGTTCGCTCCGTGCTCATTCTATCAGCCAGCACGGCAGAAACTCCCTTTAAAATGCACCCTCTCGATCCTCCTTCTCTTCGCGCTCCTGTCTCCTCCCGTTCTTATTCCCCCACTTGTTTCCGTTATCGTTATCGTCATCATCACCATCACCATCACCATCACCATTATCATCATCATCATCATCATCATCATCATCACCCTCATATTCTTCTTGTGTGCTCTCGTCCTCCTGCGGGCACAGGTGGTCTTGCCCCCGTCCGCAGCCTCGTGGCCCTAATTGGGGGCCACAGCCGCTGCGGCTCGCTTCCCATTTTGCCGTCCGGCTCCCACGTGACGAGCTGTCGGGCTCGTCTTTTACCTTCAAGGGCCCCGCCCGTGCGTGACCTGCACGGGGCAACGCCTTACTCCTTGCCGTGATGTGGTGCACCGGCTACGGAGAGGCGCGTTCTTCTCCCGCGTCCCGCCTTCATCCCCGCGTCCCGCGGCGGGTCGTCCGGCTCGGCTGCCCCTGCAACCAGCCCCGCGACCGACGCCCTGAGCTCCCTGCGGCCGCTGGTACCCCGTCTTCCTGCTGGCGACCTAGCCAGCCAAACGCTTGCTGCTCCAGCTCGTCCAATTGCTGGGCTCTGCCCGCGCTGGGGCTGCTGGACCCACCCTCTGGGTTTACTCCGACGCCCACCCGCAGCTGCTGCCAAGGGCTACCCGTGAGCCTGGCCGCCCACGCACCTGTCGCAGCCTCGCTGCGTGAGCGTGCCCCCGCGCCAAGTCCCGTCCTCCGCGGCCGCCTCTTTCTCCTCCCCTCTTGCATGCGGGCCAATTCGCGCTGCCGTGCCGCGGCTTCGCCCCGACGCGCGTGCAGCTCGCCTCTGCCGCGCTGCGACGTAAACAAATGTTCTTCCTCTTTTTCTCATTCTTTACCCATCTTTGGTTGTGCTGGGTTTCCGTGCTTTGTCGATCCGCGGGGATCCCAAACTGGATCGCGCGGACCCTCCTTCTCTTGCTTCATGATGCCGCTCTCCTGGCTATTCGGACCTCGATTAGAACCAGCTGCATGACGGCCACGGGGTCGATATGGGAAGAATGCGAGGATGATGGCTGAATGAAGTGAGGGCGTTGATCACACACATGAGAACAACATAGCAGTCATACCCAAATGGTCTTCAGAACAGCGGATGCTTTACGAGCTTCTGGAATTCAGCTTCATGACCAGTTGCAAACATCTGAACCTATGAAAGAGCATCGGTTGCAAGGCGCACGAAGAACATACGAGAACAACTGTAAACATCCTGGCGAAGAACATCACCACATGGCGAGACCAATTCTTTGAAGACCAAACAAGACAAATACCGTGCAATTGTATATTTTCGACCTTTGAAAATGACTCGCGCGCGAACCCTTACATGCCCTCAGCGCTCTTGCGACAGGCAAGTCTGGCGAGTGTAATGCGAACCAGATCATGGAGATAATTACGATTGACCTGGCGGCACAGTGCTCAATCAACGGCGTCTCCTCGGCTGCGCAATAAACGAAGAGGGATTGCGAACTCATGGGGCGACGACACTGAATGTACAATACATCTGCTGCATTTCTGGCGCATCCAACTGGTGGTGCAGCTCGCGATCAAGCGACGGCACGGCACAGCTACCCTTCCCACGTGATCCCCCTCCTGCGACAACTGCCTCTATGCTCATTCGGGCAAGGCTCGTGCTGGTGCAGCGTCTTTGAAAGTGGGCGCCGGCGTTTTACGATCATACTTTCTTAAGGGCGTTGGGAGAAGCTATGGTGTTTTGGATGCCATGCGCACCCAGCTCCAGGGGGGCAAACTGACCTTGAACTGAGGCTACTGTGAAACTTGATTTGTCCGTCATGCCTTGAACTCGCAGACAATGCATGACCTGTTGGATGCAGGGCAGAACATGTCATCACTCTAATACACACAATGAGTTAAACAACATTTATGCAATAATGGTTGTAAGTGGTTGCTCTGCGACCGTGATACGGTTTGAAAGCTCCACCGCTTGATTTCCTAAATCGACAAGCCGTCGATGAGGTTCGCACGGGACTTCCTCACATCTTACCTCTTCCGTTTGACATTGCTCACACGTTGATCCAAGGTCCATGACTCACGCCTGAATTTTCTATTGCAATCCACCTAAAGGTCCGGACTCCCCCCAAAGGAGGTCCGCCCAATTTGCACGAAAACCATGGCTCCCGCCTCAAGCCTGCTCACAAAAAGACCCCCCTGAGGCCCCAATGAGTGGGTTCGCGAACTGCTGTTGGACCAACGTGGGCTCCCAGTTGCCCACCATTCGCGAGTGCCGATTACTACCCGATCCTCTTTTGGGCAAATGGACGGGTCTACCCCTCGCGCGCTATGATCCCCTGCGCTGAGTTCTGGACTGATGCCCCAGTGGGTGGGTTTGCACAACCCTTGGCCAGCAACCTCTGAATGGCCCACTCCTCGCACGTCTCGACCTTTACATGGGCATCCATCTCCAACTAGGTCCCGGCGATGGGGCTTCCTACAACTCTCTAGGGCCAACGGGACCAGAGAGCGGCCCATCCTTGAGATCCGGCGTCGCAACATCGCGACAAATCACGACCCAAGCCCGATACACAACCTTTCTGCGACTCTTCTCGGGTTGGCTCGATCCGTGGGGGTCCAATGGCCTGAGACCTGGCGAAAACGCCCACGACTAAAAGACTGCGACGCCCAAATCTCAGGGATACCCCACGCGTTGCGACCCCCCATCCGGAGCCCCAACCCTGCTCCGTATCTATGAGCCCCCCCTCCCCCACGCGATTGGCAGCCAACCCGAAACCATGAGACCCCCACGATCCCTTTCAAAAGACAACGCAAGTGCATTTTGAGGCAAGCGTTGGACGATGCGCGGGCACCCAATGCACTCAACTCCTTTTTTTGCGTTGGTATTTGGCACAACTTTTTTGTTTGTTTGCGAAGTGTGTGGGGGCGTATATTTGCTACTGGGCGGTGGCCCCAAATTCTTGAAAAACCGATGCTATGTCTTTGCGGGTGCACGCGCCATCAACCATGTTGAGCACCTCGTCGCCACGTGGCGCTGGTTTTGGACAAGATATGTTCGGGGTGTTGGCATTTCGCCCGATGTGTGCTGTCGCGTGCACTGCTGCACCTGGCGCACTCTGCACGCGTCCTGCACTGGCGCGGCTGGAGCACGTGGCACACTTCGCGCACATGGAGCATGTGGCGCATCTGGCGCACTAGGCACGCCTTGCAAGCTTGGGTTCATGACGCACCTTGCGCGTGTGGAGCACTCGGCACGCGCGGCGCACTTTGCGAGCGTCGCAAACCTAGCGTCTGTATTGGACCCAACCGGCTGTCCATCCGATGACGACCTCTGCCTATGCTTTGTGTCGGGTGCTAATTACTTCTGTGGTGGGGTGGCGGGTGTGAGTAAGCGAGACACCTTGTGGCGTTCCCGTTGGGAACTTGATCCCTCCCCTCCCTCCTCCCCTGGGTCTGGACGGGGGGGGGCCGCTAGGGGTTGGAGAATCCAATCTGGCCAACCATGGCACTAGAATGGCCTCCAACATTGCACAACACAGGCCAAGGCGGTCTCTGGCATTCCTTCAAGACGGCCCCTAAGACACTTCCACGAAGCCACGGAGCCTTCCAACAATACCACCGAGAGGCCAACTCCTTCAATCACCGACATCCGATTTATCAATGCTTGCTGCCTTCTCGCCTTTTTGCTTCCGATGGGACTCTAAGGCTTCAGGATGGCTCCAAGATCGCCCACGACAGCCCCAAGAGAGGCCCAGAATGGCTCAAATAATGCCCCGAGGGCAAGAGCGCCCCAAGGAAGCTCCAAGAAGCGAGTTACCAAGCTCCACGGTGGCAACCCCATTGGGGGACGAACCTTGTGTGTTCGATGGCCTCCATTTCAGGATGGGCCCGACAGGCAGCCAAGAGGCCACCGAAGGCCCCCATGAGGGCCGCACCCATCCCCCCACTATCCAGCATTGCCCCAAGATAGCCCGAAACAACTTCCAAGAACCTCCCAAATCGAAAAATCTCCAATTGACTCCTGTGTCGGCTTAAGCTTATTCCGCGATTCTGCTTCACAGCAGCGCCCCTCTTTGTTCAACTGCATGTTCCTTCAACTCCCTGATCATTCTTCCTCCTGCTCTTCCTCCTCCTCTGGCTTCCTTCCCTCTCTTCGTTCTCAATCTCGTTTTCGTCATCGTACTTCTCTTTCTCCCATATCCTCCTCCTGTTCCGCTCTCTCACTGAAGGGAACTCGGAAGAAAATGGGGACTCAACAACAGAGTTCATTTTGGCGGGCATTGATTGCGTGACTCTTCTTCTCATCACTCTCTTCCCCTTCATCCACCCGCTCCTCCTCCTCTTCCTCCTCCTCCGCCCGATCGTCTTCCTCTTCCTCTTCGCCATCGTCGTCCTTCTCCTCCGTCTCCTCCTCCTCCTCCTCCTCCTCCTCCTCGTCGTCGTCCTCCCCCTCCTCCTCCGTCTTCCCCGTCTCCAAGGTCTTCTCTTCCTCCTCCTGTTCTTCCCCCCCTCCTTTACTCGCTCCTCCCTTCTTGCTCTGAGGCGAACGTGACGGGAACACACATACACATATACATATAGACATGTATTTACAGTTTGATGACATTAGCGGTCAATTACATTCACCATTGTTGGCCTCCTTGTTTGACACTGTGTTGATTCACTTTTCTTCTCCTGACAACTCGTTATAATATTCTTTCTGTGTGAGCTGGTGGGGATACGACAAGCGTCAATAAGTGCCCGCTGCAAGTATCGAGCCACCGTAGTGGGCTCAAGCTAAGATCCCAATTGGCAGGCTCACATATTACTATTGGGCTATTGACCCAGATCAAATTATCCTACAAGCGCTTCGACTCTCCATGAACCGAACTGACTGAGGCCCCAGTCGGCGAGTCGAGATACCACTCGGTTGTCAATGGGCCGAATGTTGTACACTGTATACCTGTCATGCATTTTGATATCCCATTGCGAAGCCCTGCCCCAAATGTTGGGTTCGCAAGCCACTCCCGCCAATGTTTTTCATCACTTCCTACGGTTTTTGCCTCCGAATCCGAGAATTGCCCCATACGCAAGAAGTCCGGGTGAAACGTTCTGCGGCACCTGCCTCCCCCCCGCCCCCCCCGAGGCACTTCCCCCTCTCCCCCAGGCGTTCGCCGGAGCTCGGTGGCGGATTCGCGCGGCAGCGCAACAAGATGTGTAAATTGCCAGCATGGCGTACGACCGGCTCCCCGCCCTGATCGCCCCCGCCCCTGTAAGGGGCCGCATCTGGAAGGCGTGCGCGCCAACCTCGCGAAAAGAGAGGTGCCCTTCGGCAGACACACTCGGCCGGAGAGCCCGGTCTCAGCGCTTCGCTTGGTTCTTCACGCCGTTGATCTTGTTCATCACCTCAGCGATCTGGAAACTGGCAGCCCGCAGACAGGCCGCCCCGCAACACTAGTTCCCGCAATTGCGGCTAAGAGTGAGGCGGCGCCTGGGCTGCCTTGGCGGGGCTGCGGGGCTCGAGCGCCCATGTAGAGAAGTCAGACAGAGGCGCTTGATTTTTCCAAAGCAAGCAGATTTCTACTTGCGTATATGTTTCATCAAAACAAAATTGGCGGGTCGCTGGGCGGGACGTCGGCGGGTCACGAAACTCGAAACCTCATGTCAAGAAGCCAGCCGCAAGCTCTGGCTTTTCTTCTCAGCACAACAAGCCCGCCGCAGGGAACGACTCTTTCAAATACACAATGCGTGGATCGCGAGCATGGGTCGCGTGGGTTGCGGGGTGGGTCGCGGGAGCGACGACAAAAACATGGCTTCAACACACATACACAGATCATATATGTCTATGTGCGTTTACGTATACATATATACCGATATGCATATACACAGGTAGCTGGCTTCTTTTATACACTTGTACAGGTATAGGTCTGTATGTATTGTCATATATGTAATGTATATACACAACTTAATGCAAGCTTGTGTTTACACACATATATTTACACACGTACGTGCATACATGCATCCATACATCCATACAACGTATATACGCTACTGTGCCCTTGGCACGAAAGGGAATGCCCCAGAAGTCACAGCTGTGCTGCTATCGCTGCATCCAATATTCTAAATTCTTAATGGCCCGATCCCCGGGTTTTCCAGGCGCTCTCGGGCGCTTCCAGAATGTGCCGAATGGGTCTCTGGAGCTGTCCCTTCGCTCAGGAGGTTCCAGAACGGGCCAGGAAAACCCCAGGTGTCCGCCAAGTCTGAAGTGACTATGGTAAGTCAAATAGCATCCGATTCCATGGGAAGCGGATGGCAGATAGCGTCCAATGCCATGCTGGGGTAATTCAGTATGGGGAGTGGGCGGATAAGATAAGATAAGATCGATGTAATGATCTTTCCATCACATAGCGAACACCACCAGTGTCCGGGCAAATAGGGCGCGCGTGCCTTGAGCCAAAGGCAACGGCGTGCGAGCTATACTCCCGATCCTATATAGCATCTCCCAAAGAGCTACCCTTAAAGTCGGGAGGGGAGGAGACGGTGAGTATAGCCGCGCAGCCGTTAGGCTCCACAAAGGCCGCGCGCGCGACTGTTTGCAAGAAAAACCAGTACGTACAGTCTGGCCTAACACCAGACTGTAAGGCGAGCTTCCTCGCAAAGCATTTTCACGCATACGCAAGATGGCCCTTTGGACATCAAAGGGCTATCGGCCCGGCTAGAGGTAAGCCAAACAGGCTATACCTCTCCGAGCAAAAAGGTATTAAAGCAAAGAGCCTGAATCAATCTGAACAGGCTCGTTGCCAAGCGTGAAAAGTAAGGCTCGTTTCCGAGCAACTAGGAGGGCGCCTCTGTGTTAGGCGCCCGTGCTGGCAGACTGGACCGCGGGGGCAACAAGGACAGACTAAAACTGATTTGACTTAGGCTTGTTTCTGTCCTCAGGACCCCGAAAGGGAGCAAACTGCGTCACGTCGCACTTAAATGACTGAGTGCCTGACATCACCTCCAAAAGCAGCTCCCGATCGATACTCCCCTTTGTACGCCCATCTGCGGTCATGTCTCTAGTATCACACCACTGTACGTTGTGCACTATACCGATATCCATGAGCTCACGTATCCAGCTGATATGTCCCAGCAAAGTCCGTTCCGTCGGTATCTTAATATCTTTGCTGGATAGCGATTTGTATACAGACTCAGCGTCTATAGTAAGGGATACTTTAATGGCTAGGCCTCCAACTTCACGCATATCACGTAGTTGTCGTGGAGTAAGTGCCCCTGCCTTGAGCTCGTGGAGAGTGATGGGCGCGGGGTAGCATTCATCGAGGTTGTGTGCAGCTGCAAGTGCTTCAGCGGCATAGCTGGACCTCACCTGCAATCGGTGTGATCTGCATAGTCCGTCGCAAAGGTTGATGACGTATTTGCCTTGAGGCGAGTTTCCTCGCCGTAGTACGTTAGCCCCACGGATGCCGTGGCCCTGGGTCTCATCGTCGTCCTCCCTGGTGAGCTTCTGATACCCCGAATTACTGTGTATGTCTACGTCGTTCGTCGGTTTCATCCGAGGGAAAGTGATGCGTTTCGGGCTGCTGATCAGCTTTCGCGTCACAGCATTCAGTCGTCTGGCTTGTAGGTTGGTGGGATCTTGGATCTTCTTGAGAGAGACCACATGCACCTAAACCAGACTTGAGTAAGAACGGCATAGGCGAGAGCTCCTCGCAGGCTAACGAACATGTCGGTGATGAGTTTGGTAGCTTTGGCGTCAGCCGCCGCTCCCGTAAGTTCAGGGTGTGTGATAGGACGTAGTTGTTTAATGTACTCGTCCTGATCCATGATCACATCCCCTTGTTCATTCTGGGTGTAGCGAACGGCGCAGTTCGTATAGGAATGTTTGTTGAGCTTGCATTTGCCAAACACCTTTCCGACACGTTGTACATAGTCATCTACGTTTTTCTCTAGGCCTGTCATGTTGATATCGTCGACATGTTTTGCCGTTAACAGATCTTGACTGAATTCAAACTCAGGATCGTAACTTGTCGGTGTAAGGCCTATAGCTCGTGTGGTCGTACGAAGCTTGAGGGAGAACGCTCTTGGGGCGTCCTTTGTACCCGTCCCTGGCTTGAGGCACCTGAGGCAGTGTCGGCTTTCATCGTAAGAAGAGAAGCCTGGTAGGTGTACGAAGCACTTGGGCGCTTCCTGGTGGAAGAGTGAAGCAACCCATGCGAGTTTCCTCGCCGGTGGCATGAGCAAGTTCCTCATAGGTCAGACATTTGAGGAACGCTTTGTCGATATCCATAGATGCTAAGATCCATTCTGGATGACATGCCGCCTCACTTGCCAGGAGCCTCTGGGACTGTCTTCGAGCAGTTCCTGTGAAGGCTTCTACATCAAACGCCTCCGTGTCCATGAATCCGCGAAGGACAAGTCTGAGACGGATGGTTCTAACGTTCTCGGTGCCTACCTTCACAAACTTCCACTTGTATACATATCTGGGTGTCATGATGTTGGAAGCTTTAGATAGGTCATACATCTCCAAGCACCGGTTATCAAGCCAGATCTTGAGTTCGGTGTACAAAGCTTCACTAACCTCTTTAGGGTGTGCTGCTATATCGGCTTTGGTGAGTAGGTCGTCTTCCTTGACAACCGCAGCGCGTTTAGCAGCCGATGATACATATACTCTCATCGTTGCGGCCATGTCAGTCTCAAGCTGTGCAAGTTGGGTCTGATCCAGCACTGCCTTTGACATGTCTGGTGTGGAACATAACTCAACATGAGGACCATGTTCATCACTGTCAAGAGAATAGCCCTCGTCAGGTGTAGTCGAGCATAGAGAGATCAGACAGGACTCTTGTGGTTCAGGCTCGTCTCCGAGCGTTTCCGACACTATGATATCTTCCTCGTCCACGGATGCTGAGACCAGAACACATAGGTCGGGCAGCATAGTTGTTGGGACGCAGTAGAGATGATCGTCGGTAACCGTTGTGGGATGAAGGTCCACGCGTAGTTCATCGTACCACTCCTCCATCATCATAGCCTCGATGTCATTTTCCTCGCTTTATTCGTAGATTGTAGACAGGCGACCTTCACTTGGTGATGAAGCACCTGGGGTGTCTGGTGGAGGCCTGTCTCCAGGCTGGTCATGTTCTCCAGATGTTGTGCCCAAGTGCTGATACTTGGCAAGGTCGTCATGAAATCCTAGGGAAGAAACATGTGACGTCAGGCACTGGATGAGTCTGGAGTGAGTGCTACCAGTGATTTGAGAGATGTTCAGGCCGGTGCCCACGCGCTCATAATAGTGGAAGGCTGTTTTGACGTCGTTGTCGTAGTGGATCAGTGTAGACCCGGTGGCGTACTTAACTGCAGGTAGACTAGACACGCTCTTGGCTAGTCTCACGGCTACTACACGTTCAACTCGGAAATAATTTCGCACGAGGTACGGTCGTGCAAGATGTACGCGCGGGTGGAACTTGCTGTCGTCCGAAAGATTGAGGTTTCTTTTGTAGTCTGGAATATAGCCAAAGACTTTGGCAGGTTTCCCTGCACCAAGGTGCGCCACATATGTAAGGACGGTTTGCATGGCCATGTTGTCCATGCCAAGTTCCCTGGTAAGGAGGCATTCAATGTATAGCGTGTGGCGAACATCAGGGTACATTACAATTACCTCACGTGATCCTGCCTTGACGACAACGTGTCCTCGTTCAGGCACGGTGCGGATCACAGGAAACGGGCCATTCCAGCCTCCATGGTCGTCCTTAGTGGCTGTGGGTCGGCGATAGTCGACCAAGTCCCCTGCTGAGTAAAGGCGAGCACCATATGGGGCCGTCTTAGCCCTGAGAGCACGATTTGTCTTAGCTACCGCCGTGGCTTGAGTTATTGCTTCCAGGCTAACTTCCCTCACGCGGCGTTCTCGTTCGTGGCCTGACGTCTCGGGTCCCTTAGGGAAGTCAAGGGTGTCGAGGTCAGGAAGAAAGGAGGGCTGTCGCCCAATGTGTGCTTGGCATGGCGATGCTCCGTTGTAAAACTTGAAAGCGTTGGTGACGAAGATGCCTTCAGCCAATGCTCTAGTGAATACAACAGGGATGTTGTGTCTATTCAGCTCTTCCTCAATCATATGGAGCGTGCCCCTAAGAATGCCGTTGCGTGACTCGATCGAGGTCGCGCGTTGGCCAGGCGCTCGGATACGAAGTGTCGTGCCCTTGTTCGCCATCATGGCCTTGGCAGTGTCATTGTTGAGGGCGCCTTCTCCATCTGCATCTAAGACTTTGAAGGGTACATGATAGGCAATCCAGCCGTAGTGGTAGGCGTCGAGTATAGTTTCACGTCCTCTATCAGAAATGCCTTGGCCTTTTGCCAGGCGGATGCATCGGTCCATAATATGAAATATGGTTCGTTTCTTGTAAAACATGAGATCTACT